GGTCCCATCAGCGGTTGAGCAGGCATCGGCGGCGCGGGAAATCCCGGTGCAGGAGCAACTTGTAACTGCGCGGCGTGTGCGTCCAGGAAATTGGCCATTCTAACGTCCAACATTCCCGGCAGGCCTTCCATCACATCCTGGAATGCCCGCATTAAGTCTCTCACCGAGTCTTCCAGTTCTGCTAGACGTTCCCCGGTAGTTTCCTCCGGGATGGGGTCCCGAGGGCGGTAGTCCGGGGGTGGGTCATAGTCCTCTTCCGTTTGGAAGGCTCCGGTGCCCTCCTCATCTTCTGCGTGACCACTCGGTCCCGACGGCTCGAACATCCACTCCTCGAGGTCCTGTTTGGGGCTCCCCTTCTCCGAGGTAGACCCAGGTTCCGGGAACAATCCCTTGTCAAACAGACTCTCACGTAATCCGCTCCCCCGACGGGAGTACACCTCACGGGTGCCTTGGGTGTTGTACATAGTCCAATCATCCTGCTGGTGAGTCTTCCGCGGACCCCATTGCGAAGGGGTCGGAGGCGGCCAAGACAGATGTGCAGGCAGGCGGGGAATCGCTCCCCCCACGGCACCCTCCATCGAGGCTGCAGTCGTGAACACCAAAGACGCGGAGGTTTGTGGGACCGATCCCGAGTCCCCCTCCGTGTTAGGTAGATTTCCCTCAATTCCGCTCATGATCTTGTCAGATTCGGAACGATAGGAAAAGGCAGTTCTAACAATATGTTGGATCCCCAAGCATCGAGAATAAATCCACGTTTTCAAGAAAAGCAAAATTTATTTCAAAGCGTTGAAGACATACTCAAACACGTTCTTTGTTAGAACTGGGGATACACAGTTAGGTCAAGCATAATAAAGGAACTTCAAATAGATACAGATCCAATGAATTGCTTTCCCGCTGGCGGGCTAATGAAACGGTTGCGCGCCCAGTACGTGAGAACCAGGCAGGACATCAGACAAAACACAGGTGCGGTACTCATGGGAAAATCAATAGGCAAGCATTACAGCATCTTCTCCCCCACACAACCTCCAGCAGTTATCTTACGCATTCCAAAGCAGGAGCAGGATGATAGAAACCAAGCCGGGTGTAACAGGGAAAGGATATGTACACAGAGGTCACAGAAAACAGAATGGCAGCTTGCTGACATTCTGTAGGTGGCAACAAACCATGCTGAAAGTGAAGCGAAAAGACTTTAATGGAACTTTCCCGCTTGGCGGATGATCCGAGCTCTGAGCTGAGGGATGGAGACCCACACAAGAACCTA